TTTTGATATTCGTGCTTTGGTACATCATGCATTTGTTCCGGAGACCCAGACGATCAATAAGAAGTTCTATTTGGCTCTATTGAGGCGTGAGTAAAAAGATCTGTCAAAAAACGGCCCGAATTGTGGAGGAACAATTCATGAATTATACACGATAATAATGCACCATCGCATCCAGCTCGTGAACGAATTTAACACCAAAAACCAAAAAAAAAAAAACATCGAGCCATTACCAGATTTGGCTCCGTGTGATCTTTCTTATTTCCCAATCTGAAATTGCCGCTTCGTGGAGGCCGCACTCACTCGATCGAAGAGTTAAACCTAATTCTCTTAAGTAAAAGAGGTTATGAAAAATGTTTCGAAGACTATATTACGTCTGGTTGGGAATACTTTGAAAGCGAAAAAAAAATATTGAGAACTAATTAACTGTTTATAATTTTATTTACAATTTCCGGATAATTTTTTGTCACAATATGTAAAACCATTTAATAGTAAATAATGAAAGTCACCTTGCAAATTCATTAGTGGATTACAAATGCTCAAATAAATGCCATGAAACTACTTAGGACTAGTACTCGTAACAAAAAACGGTGTTTGAGCTCAAGCAAGTCAGCTCATTTAATGATTTTTGCACAAGCAGAAGATATACATTTGCACCTGTTCGCATCTGGGTATGACTATAAAACAAACGATCTCGATTTTTAAATTCAAATTATTTTCAATCATCCGATTATGTTCCTAAAATGGAGTTCACACCACAATTGTCATCTTTGGTCCGGCAGAAATTGAATCAAAATATTTTGTATGCAAGTCAGCGAGCCACGAAACGGCATAGTATTCATAAATGCTGTATGTAACTGATTCAAAAGTATTCTAAACAAGCTTTTCATGCCGAAAATATTAGAGTTCTTTATTATAAATTTGCATTGAAAAATATTAAATTACTACAGAACAACACTGGAAAATCGTGAAAATTTAATACCAAAATAATGGTGCGGCTCGAGGGATGCGCATCGATACCGATTTTAGCAAGAAATTCTTGTTCAGGGATGAAACACTCTTTTTCTCTAAATGGATATATTAATAAACAAAATTATCGCATTTGGGGTGATGATAATCAACAAGCCATTGTTGAGACACCATTATATCCTTAAAAGGCCACAGTCAACGGGGACCACTATTGAGCTATGATTAAGCACTTTAGAGGCTTGAAATGGGGGAAGTTGATTTAGATGGCATGCCATACAGACAAAAACAATAAACTTTCAGGTAGCGCACTAAAATCGTGAACTTGCATTGGCAGAGAATATTTATCGCGTTATGACTGGATTTTTTTTCGAGCTTGCCGCCTGGAACAAACATTTAGAAGTGTCATATGCCAGACTATGATTTCAAGGTATTAAAAAATATGATAAATTCCAAAAAATTTAATGGCAAATCACTTTTATCCTTCCTTTTCTTTTATTTGGCTACTGATATATCAAACATTCCAGCAATCAAATAACTCTACTAAGTTAATCTAATATCAAATCATATATTTAGACCACATGCTAGTATAATATCACTAACTCGGCCACAAAGGTTAGAGAAAACCACCCGCTTAGCTTTGAAAGCTCAACATTACGGAAATGACCTTTATATCCGACTGCCATCAAAGTGTGTAATCTGAGACTTCATTAAAACCGGTGCAATTAAGCCAAAGCCCAGGTAAACAGAAAGTGGCTTAGTTGCGGTTAGTTGGTTCATAACAGTCAGTAGCTATTATTTACTCAAACACCTGTAGTAGCAGCAGTGCTTGCCACAAACTACAACAACAAATTATGCTTACATTTGCTTTTATTATTGTTGTTAATGTATGTGTGTGTGTTATGTGGTTCAAGCATACGTTTTGAATAACTAACGATATTAATGAGCGGAATTTGTTCAGTGTGTGGATAAATGCAAATGCTACCCAGATTAACGCACGTCTATATATTCAGGTAGTATATATTATACTTAAATGCGGCTATGACGTATTAATCCAAGATAACACCGCTTGATCAGAAAATCTCTCTCAGGATTTTCAGGTTATTACTAATCACTGACATATGCGCAAATGTATGCTTATTTTAAAAATTATTAGGATTATCCGTCTAAAATTTAATGCAACATTAATTAACACATATTTAGTTGCACATATTTATTACGTGAACAAAGTTTCAATGAATTTCAAATATATATTTTATAAAAAGGCTTATGGCTGAAAGGATTGGGCTGCGCGTTTCCGTTAATTGAAAGCTGAAAATTATAAAGGCATTTCTTTTTTATCAAAATCGGGTCAAAGCCACACCTACTACCAATTCGAAAAATCACATTATGTTTTTAACCATTTATGCTAAATAAATATCTGCAAAAATGACGGTAAACAGAAGATTCTAAGACTCAGGCAAAAATGTTCATATCTAGCGTGAGAAAAGACTCGACTAGAATTCCACATATTTTTTAGTTTGGCTAAGCCTTCATGTATTTCACGGCTTTCAGACAATAGGTTCGGGAGATCTAGCATTTTAAAAAACGCAAGTTTGGGTATTTTGAATAAACTGGTTAAAATCTTATAATACCAAAAAATTACTTTTGCTTGGGGTCTGCGTAATACAGAGATTCGTTTTTTAAATTTCTAAGTAGGTAGGTTGTTCTAGTCCCCGTTAAGGTGGTGAGGTTCAGATAAGTTGTCATCGAGGTCATCCGAAGGTAGGCCCAGGAAACGTGCAGTTTCGATGGGGTCGGTCGATAGGGAGAAGGGTGTCAAACGTGTTATTAGAGTCATGCGGGGACAAGTTGCAAACTATATATACATATACTTGTTATGTCGCGATCTGATTCTGGATAATTATGAATTTAACCTGTGGCAGTATACAGTGGTGGTTTAACTTCAAGTACGCCATTAACTGAGAGGGAGTCGATGAAAGTGTTTGTGGCTCCACTGTGAATGGTCAGTCAGCGCATGTCCGTAGTAAGTTGCGTCGTCGACGTAGTTAATGAAGGACCTCGTTTGCGTTTCACTGAATCCAGGCCGGCAGATTGCCATATAGGTTGCCAACAATGTTTCTTTGTCTTCGAAACCCCTGTTTAGTTATTCTCAATTAGAATTATTATCTCGAAACAGTACGGATGATAATAGTTCACCTCATCAACTGTGAAGGTAGCGTACATTTTCTCCTTAAGTAGCGTTTTGTGGTTGACTATGTCATAAACTTTTGACAAGTGGTCCGTTGGGGTACCAAAAAGCATTTAAATACTGGATTATAAGTATGTTACAGAACGACAAAGCGCTTTCAGCCTATAAAAAGTCTCAGTCTTGCAAAAGCTGGACAGTGAGTAGGAAAGATTTTAAGTCTTATCACTTAATGGCTATAGGACAGTGTAATGTAAGAACATTGCAAGTAGTCCAGAGGCCAAAAGGAGCTCGCAGTCACACAAGACCACCACCTGCTAAGCACACGTAATGTCCATTAGTCCAGTTCTAGAACATAAGACGCCAATAGCTGATCGAACTCGGACCCATTCCGATATAAGTTGGACAAGGACGGCCGCTCTGGCTCGCTCATCGGCTTTGCAGTTGGCAGCGTTTCCGCTGTAACCAGGCACCCAATCGTGTCTGATGCTGAAGTAGCTTGATGCTATTTCTAGTGACAAGCGCTAGCGGAGTCATTTCTGCTTGAAAAAAAATGTGGTGCGTAAGCTGAAAGATAAATGTAGAAGCTGAGACTCAAGGCTACAAAAATAGTATCGAAAAGTGGAAAATCACTTGAACTTAAATACACCAGCACTCGAATTTGTGTTGAATATTAATTGGATATTGTGAAAAAAATCAAATTTTTCAGACAGCTTCGTATTGCAGAAATGCATGGCAATTAAAACTTTTCAATCGATAAATTTTGTTCAGCCAACTGACAGTTTAAGTTATGAAAGTCGTAAAAGTGACAGTATGTTCGAACGTTATGTATCACTCAGCTGTCACCCATATTTATTGTGTGTACTTTTCATCAATTATTTATTTATTTTCATTGTGAGCTCGCAATAATTTAGATCACTGGTCTTACTGATGATGACATAATTTGTATATGCAAAAGGGTGTCAGTGTCAATTTAATTACATAATTTAACAAAAAAGTAGTTGTTAGTTGTTATTGGAACTACAAGTAACGGTAACACATAAATGTGTAATTCGAAATGAAAATATTTATGTGACCCCGGAGAGCAGTGCTACTGAACATTAATTGAAAT